AAGCAAGTTGTTTTACAAGGATTTTCGAAAATACGTCCACATAAGGTCTGGACAAGATAGGTTTAATGCGCATATCTTGAAAACAAATTCGGGTCCCTCCATAAATTCGTACCAGATCAATCTAAAGTACATTGCGTTCACAAAGTGTGTCTACTACTCACACCTTTATGAAGAAGTAAAGATGAGCAGGCTTGGGTGCACGAGTGCTCTTGAGGGCGCGACTGGGCCATGCCTGACAATGTCTCTAACCATTCATGTAGCCCGTCTCGGGGTCCCAATCCAGGAAGACGGCAGTGACCACCGCACCTGAGTTCGCTGATAGTGGCTTTATACTTCGCTGCCAAGTCTTTGTTTGACCACCTCTGACTCGTTTCCACCCTTCCGTGGTTGTGCGTAAAGAAACTTTTGAGGAAGTCGGTCGACTGACATTCTCAGAGAATGGCCAAGCCACCGCAACCTATGCAGTATGATCAGTTCATCTATCGAGGTTAAGTTAGTTCTTCAGACTACCAAATTGAAGCTGTCTCCAAACAAGCTTGCGGCATGGTTAAGCGGCCTGTGTAACCTCACTCACAGTCGTTCTCGTGTTGCTAGCCGTGCTCCACCGTTGATCACACCTATTCCCCATGTTAGCACCGGTGTACGGTATTCACACCTGTTGATGAGCCGAGGAATACATCTAAACAAAAAAATGATAGACAGTTGACAGACAAATAATCCTGTCTATTGTAGAATTAAATAAACATGACTGAGTACGAAAAATCAACCTCAAGTAACAGTCGTAAACAGAGCACATTTTCGCAGATTTCACTCAGAACATTGGATCTGCAGATTCTTTTAAGACAAACGCATAGTGAATTGAAAAAAATTGGGGAAAGTATGTGAGAGAAAAGTTATTAAACAAACCTTATTGTGGTAATGAATTCTTGAGAAGCAAAATCCGATTTATGTAGAAAAACAGTAACTTTGACAACATTACTCACCAGTAACTGGGAAGGCGGCGGGAGAAATCAGGACTTTCTTAGAGGAACTACTCTAGGGGCTACATTGAAATTGAAAAGGGGGCCTATAAGAACCGGATAGCATTTCTTCTGTTCATACATTCATGCGATTCCCAACAGATTTGATGAGCTTGGAAGAGCAATTTGAGTTTGGGCGAAACGGATGCAAATGGACCCAGTGATCTTGTAGATCCGTTAGTTGCACATAGCACATGACAAATTTGTGCACTACTCGAAAGCCTTCATCATCTAGACGACAAACAAGCAAACTGGTTTGCTCAATCTAATTACACTTGCACAATAAACGCGCCAAATTATATCTGAAAAATTTTATTTTGCGATAACCGTTGGCAATACGAAAAGTCTTGAGGTGTGCCTTGTATCGCCGTCAATCGGTATCTCCAAAGGATGGTGGCGTCTGCGTACTAGAAAGCTCACGCTCAGTCACCATCAAGGGGGACTAAATTTGTTTCAACGGCATTGAGTTCTCATAGGAGGATTAGAATGAAAGGCGGCGTAACTATGACCCGCTTTTGTGGGTACATTTTACTGCAGTAGCAGAATCCTGTTGGACCGGGTTTTGTACCACAAAAAAACATGAGTGCAGAATCACGTCTGGAATTAACTTACAGTTTCTACTTCTGAGTATACCTACAGTCCGTATTCCCCAGACTCGCATCCCAGATCAGTTATTCTGTAGCCTTCAGACGAAGCTTCCGCATCAAGAGCACCGTAAAAATCTAAGGTGATTAGAAAAGTATATGAGGACGACGAAACAACGCTCATCGGATACAGGCTACCGGAGGAATGTAAGTAGGCATTTTTCAATTCATTTTCCCCACAGATCTCGTGGATATTCTAGAGAGCCCAGACGAACTTGTGTACAAGTGTATCATCAGAGGCAAAGTCTGCAGCGTGAATCTGCACTCTAATTTTGAAGAAACGAACCAAGCAGTACAGATACTACCGATGCTGCCATTCCGATCTGTAACGTTTAAAATTTGGTGTTTTAATCCACTATTCATCGGAGACATACTTGAAACCTATGCTCATTTCCAGGCAACCAAAGGATTGTTTGCCGAACGGTTTTTTATTTGCTGAGTGTGCTTTGGAAAACATATAGGTGAAACAGAGCGTACTAGGGCAGCTAAACACTGCCGTGGTTAGGAGCCATTCTTGAGCCATTCGCGCTTACCACCGAGCCAAATATTGAATACATCTCGACGAGACCGAAAACTCCACGATGATACAGTTGTTATCATCTCCACACTGCAACGTGTTGCGTGGGCGAGTAGATATTAATTGCATACACACTTGAGAAAGCAACTACACAAGTCACGGAACGAAGTAAATCTAATATTAATTCGGACATCGACTCCAATGGGTATTGAGGGAGCAACTCAACTACGGCTGAAACGACGCATGATCGTAAACAGCTCATCCATGAAATTCATCTCACCACCGGTGACTCGCGAGCTACTTCTGACTGATTAGCCTCAACAAAAACGAAACCGGCAGCAGGTTGTCTAAGGGCTTCCAACAACCAAATAAATAACATATTACATCAAAACTTGACCAATAACTGTTTATCGAATTGTTCAATGATTACCACTCATTCCGATCTAACCAATGCACATCATAATCCATAGGAGGCAGTTGATGATGCGAACTGATGATGTCTCCTCGTATGGTGACGAAACGTATGCGTGCCAATTGCCAAGAGCGGCGAACAGATCAACAGCCACCTGATCAAAAACCACTAAATTCACCCGAGCTGCCATTATTTCAACACAGAAACGCAGATACTTACGGTTAGCCCTGTGACTCAGGTACTCAAGGCAGAATTCTTACCGAACTAGGTTCCCATCCGGTAGGGGCCAGCAGAATCAACATTACCGTATCCGAAATGACACATCCGATAGATGACACCTATGACCAATAGTCCAGTGACGACCATTTTAAGTTTGTATTCACAACTCGTTTGAACAGTCGTCCTCCAGTCCTGACGCAATAATCCCCGGGAATCCACACAAAATGGGGAAAGCACTGGACTCGAGTTACGGTCCTAATAGAGCTTATCAGCTGTGCATATCCAATGGCCGTGCCGGGGTGTGAACTCTGGACACCTGACATGCGAGGCGGGTTTCAAGCGTCTGTAGCGCTACCTGACCGGAAAGTCCTGACAAACGGCCCAATCGATCGTCACAACCAGGACAATTACTGGTTCATCGTGCAGATGACGTGTCAGGTATACCAATGTCATCACTCAAGCGTAAACAAGCCCGCCCGACCAAACGTGATATTTCAGATGCGTCCAACGTGCGTTGGTTGAATAGTGGTAAAACGTTCGCAACGCATGTCAGGTGTCCGAAGTCCTTATCCCGACAAGGCCATTGGATACGCACTGCTGACGAGCTCCAATAGGAGCGAAACTCGAATCCAGTTATTCCAACCCCGTTTGGTGTTTAAACTCTTAGGTGTTGAGTAACATCCTATGTTTGAAAAGAATGCCAGCGCCCGAATTAAACAAAACCTAAGGCTGTGTGTACCGCTCAGCACTGACTACCCAGCTCTAACCACATACTGTTATACAAAGGCCTTCTGATTACTGTCCACCATGCCGTCACATCTAATCGCTCTAACCGAAAATTGGCTAAACTGACCCACTTGGGTCCGAAATACCCTCATCTAGAATGTCGCTCATCAGACGCAAGGGGTGGATGACTTGTCGCGAACGGACATGAATCCTCAATAGAAATTAAGGCCATTGCAGCATCATGTTAGTGAGTGGTGACCATCGCCTTGTTGCGGACACTTAACACCCACCCATCAGCACAGTGCTCGATGAAGAGACATTCACGTCTCTTATCGTGAGGTGTTTCAAGATCAATTCCTTTCTAACATAGGTTCCTGGAACAAATTTAATCTCTGAACCATTCGGTTTCACCGTTCCCTACGTTCTCAGTGCTGATGAATGCACATCTTCTCCATCGAACACCAGACAGCATCACGGACCACATAGTCGTGGTTTTTCACACTGTGATATATGTAACAACTAATGTCAAGGGTGGCACAAATCTGTGTACTTACATTGCACACGTAACCAGTGAACGAGGCCAATGGAACGTAAGCCGAACGAATTGCCACCAATTCCAAGACTGTAGCGCTCATTTGGCCGGCTCCCCAATGAAAAGAAAAAAGTATTGGAAACAGAACGAGGATGTCCGAATCGCACGATGACTGGAGGACTCAAGACAATCAGCAAAATAATGGCGCGTAATTGAAGAATCCCGGAAGACTCGTATCCGGAAGGCTTGGTGGATATCGCTTTTGGTGCAGAAGCTCCGTCAGGCCAAGCGACTAGGCTACGCGGTTGGTCGAGATTTTAGGCGGAAGAAGAACCAATCAGCTGAATCTCTGTCAAGTGTCGTCGGAGGGATTTAGTGTGTTATGGTGGATGACAAAGTGTTGGGCCGGTGGGAACCTACAAGTATCCAGCTCGAAGTCCAGTTCTTCGATTCCCTCGCTGATCTCTGCCGAATGTCGTCTGCATTATCCGCTCGTCTGTGTGGTAAGCTAGTGCTACGGCAGTTGTGTAAGAGTGATTTTGTGAACTTTGGTCGGTTCGGGATTCCAAACACCCGCCCCCGTTTTTGCTAATGATTCTACGTGCACTGACAACCACAAACAGTCACGTGCCAACTCGGACCATCTAAGACCGCTTTTCATGCACTCGCCAGATCCACACCCTCGATTCTGTTCACAATGCTTTTCATGCACTCGCCAGATCCACACCCAACGTGGTGGTTGGTAGTTTCCGCCCCCTGGTTTATCAGTGGATGTGGTGTGATTTGCAGTCCCGGACTTGAAAATTCCGCATTCCACTTCCACATTTCCAACGCAAATACCGACATCGCTGAGTCCTTGACCAGCGTTTCCTATTCTTCTGCATTCTACGGAGGTTTGTTTTTCTGACGGACGGACGAAAAGCGCGATTGTTCAAAGAACTTCACCCAAAAGAATGGTTCGTTTTGTGTGAAATGCATCATCTTGTGAACGAAAAACATCTGAGGCGTAGAGAGAAACGGCGGCAAGAAGCTATATCGAAGAAAAAGAACAACACTACGGACGTTCAACGGAAGGTTTATAACCCACGCTTGAGGAGCGGTGACCAGCCAGATAGAAAAGTGTGTAAATGACTATAATGATAACAAATTGAACGACAGAGCGGTTATTCCGCTCTGAGAACTTGTAAGCTCGAAAATTCCGAAGATTTCCGAGACAGTCGAATCGGAACAGTAAGTGCTTGTGTCGGGCGTCCTCACAAAAATGAACTTGCTACAGATTCACACATACATGAATGAGCCCTGGCTCATCAGATCCCACAAACAAACAGACTTCGGGTTCACTAATTCCTACGAATCTGAGTGCATCACGAAAAAAACATGCGAGGACAAATTCAGTGGGGCACACTGTGGACAATAAACCCTGTGACAAAGTGCTGGTTCAGAGCACCTCATTGGTTGATGTTCCTTGCAGTGTCGAGTCATGCCTTCGTGTACGCCACAACAACGCGGTTGGTTCAGATCATGAGTCATTGGGAGGATTGCTCAAACCCCAAAGAAATTCATGCATAAAATTCGACATTTCCTTACACAATGTCACAATGACCTACTTTGCAGTTTTAGCTCATTTCAACTCAAATAGTGCAACACGTTGGATTCTAGTGGATTGTGTGTGGAAAATGGCGCAAAACTATTCATCGCGTGTGGTTTAGAATGGGAGAACTGACTAGGGACCTTAGAATTTCCATATTCGATAGCCTTGAGCTGCCGCAATCAAATCACATGAACGAAATTGGACTCATCTACCAGACCGAAAACAACTCAGCATTTAAGTCAGCGAAATTCGTCGCAGCAGTGTTTCTTCACGTGTGAGATGATGGTGGCCAGTGGAACGGGGTTCCAATAGCTTGAATGGCGAACCAGCAATTATGACATATTCACCCGTGGTGTATGCCTGATCACGCAGACAGATGTCACAAGATCGAAGTCACAGTCGCTGTATAAGTTCACGCCCAAAATTTCGAGCCACAACCGGTCCAATCAAACTGCGTGGTTGTAAAGGTGGTGCTTAAATGACAACAGGGCATTCAATTTGAGTCTGATGATGGACTTTGAACTGGACAGATTAGTGTATCCTAGCTCACAAAATTCACCCATTTGACGCCACATTTATTCTATAAGATTCACCGCTGTTGTTGACTTTGTGAAGCGCTCACAATCGGCGTTTTCGCATCATCTATGACAATAAGTCCAACAGTCATTTCTGACTACGATACCAGTTGAAACATAGCATCAGGGGATAAGGGCAAACTAAAATGTGAAACGCCATTCTGCGTACATCTGTATTAGGCGTAGTATGATGAGCGGTGAAGAGAAGTTCAACGATCACAAAGCAGGTCCAAAGTGACCACAGTTCGTGTACTCTCTTCTCTGTTAGTTCGAAACAATGAGTTTGCTAGTCACAAACAGATAAGCGCACAATCCAGCGCACTGGTATTAAATTTAGCGTGCTGTGTATGCCAAGTGCACGATTCAACTGTGAAAGGAAGGCAGGAATTTAGAGAGCGGCTGTGGGGTTGAGTATGTGTGCATTTCGCGCTGACTCCGCCTGTCGCGGCATTTTGTTGATTTGTGTCAGTACATTTGTCTTGCTCTAAGTGACGCGTGCAGCATGCCAGAAATGATGTTCAACATCATCACGACTACACATAGCAAATTGGGTCAAAACCCCGTGGCTCCAGCCGGATCGAAATAGTTGTATACGGACGAAGCGATAATGGATAATTGTGAGTTGAGATAACCATGGTGAACATGGATGAAATATTTGGACAGCGCAGTGTGTAGTGTGGAATAGTTGAGAATGTGTTGTCCGATACGTTGGAGTCGAGAACAATTCGAAAGTTCAGACAAACACCGGAACTCCAAAAGTTCACACATTTGCACTTGCGTGACATATGGTACACAGTTTCCAATTTCACTTCATAGGTGAAACGCGCAAAACTAAAGCGGTAAACGCAAGCGATTTTGTAGTGAAACACGTATACACGGTGATTGCGATCATAGTTATTCTCGGGTTCCTGACCACCGTATGAGAAATTGGCGTACCTCAGTGGTACCTGTGAATACCGCGATGCCATCACATGCGTAGTTTTCATCTTGAACAAATACAAGACGACGAATGCGGTCCAGATATTGCGGCTGGTAAGTCTGACTCATCGTAGACTATTCATTAAATACAAAATGTAATGCTTTTGAATTTTCGCGATGGTGGATGAGATATGCATCGGACTGTGAGAATTCCGGGCTCCATCCCAATCTTTTCCAATGGCAACTAGGTGCCCCGCGCGTCAGGTTTATGTTACTGAGAGCAAATCGTCCTTTATATGCCTCCACTGTGTTAAATGCACGATGTGAAAAGTGATTAATCAGACAACACCGGGATATTCCCCAGATAAGGCCGCCACTAATGCGAAAATTGCATGTGCGGAAAGTTAAGCACCGTCCCACCTTTAGCCAGCTCCAATTCAATGCACGCATTCAACCTTGACCTATTTGTGATGGAAGCAATTCCTTATCCGCATCTGGGCTTACTTTGTGCAAATGTTTTCTCCATTTGATTGTACAAATTTCAATGTACTTTTTGACGCTTTTAACTCTCGTTCATGATAAGGAGACGACAATACGATTTTTGCAAACCACAGAGTGATTCTTCAGCAACTTTTATGCAACAATGACCACCATATGACATTTTCAACTGTTTCTCACATGTGGAGTTGTAATGCCCGACAGTGTCGGCAATAAATCGGTCATCGAAAGAGAACTTGGCTGGAGCGGTCTAGGATGGATTTTGGGTCAGTAATTCTTTTCATTTATTGCTGATCCAAAAATTTGGCAAAAATCAAATTCTGTTCAGAGGAATTATCTATTAGACACACGGCCGCTGTTGACTGGAAAACCTATCTTCGCAAAGTTTACGCCTAGCGGCTTTTGCGGACTCCAACAGTTATCAAATTTTATACCCTCTACTTCCTAAACTTTTCTGGGTGGAGTGGGTTAATTTTTTGGCGAGGCTTATCTGGAAAAGATCAAATACTGAATGGGTCGGAAATTTTGTAAATCAACCTGATTGGTGACGTGCTGATGCCATCAATTTCCGGTCTGTGGAACTGGTTCGTATGCTCATCAAATTCATCAGGTAGCACTACGTATTCCAGGACATAAGCAGGCCGCAGGTTTTCGTGTATATTGGATTTTCCCACAACAACATCTGAGGCCTTAGATAAGGATAAGTGATAAACGAACCACCCGCATTTACCAGATCACGCGACTTGCTCCAGGGACCTCAGCATCAATTTCAAACCTGAAATGACGCAACTCACGATAAACCGGGTTGCAACACTCCGTTCGACCCATTACAGAAACGGCTTTTGTTTAAAACCAAGAATCTATTCCAGAGTTCAAATCTCCAAGAACCCAAACACTCCGTCCATTTCTAAACTAAACGTGATGGTCAACTCTGCGGCATTTTGCACACACGATTCACTATATGCAACAAACTATACTGGGGACACAGAAAATGGTATTTGCAAAGGTCACTGCTCGTGAGTTGCTTCATGTCCTCAGAATATCTCACAATTCCACAGCCACCGTTGTCCTGTTTTCTCTGCACTACCTGGGAAGACAGAGCACTCGGGGGACAGTTCTGATGCGCACAGTGTAATACCTCAGATGTGCCTTCCACAGCACATGTACTCTGAGTTGGAAACAGTTAAGTCTGCGACGCATGTGTAACTTGTCCTTTTTATATTGTGTGAGCAAACTTTCCGTTGGATCCACAAATACTCCTTGGGTTTGAAAAATTTGTCCCGCGGCTGATGATGTGTCAGATTACCTGCATCAAAATTTGTCCGCTAATTGGTTTTTGAACCGTGCCTAGTTTGCATACGCTTGATATGCGTCAGCTTCAGCTGAAGAACTGGCCGAGTTCTATTCCACTGTTTACTGTCAGAAGGAATATATAAGCCGGATGTCGTTTATGTCTCCCTCACCGCCCACCTCCCTACATTAAGTAATCGTGACTCCGGAATGTGTACTCCGAACGTTACTTGAACCTAATCACAGAAAATCTCCCGGTGCCGATCAGATAACACCACTTATCCTCAAGCAGTGTGCTCATTCCCTATGCACACCTCTCGCTGAGTTATTCAATTCGTCCATAAATAACGGTGTGGTTCCCAACGACTGGAACAAGGGCGTTATCACTCCCATATACAAAGGCGATAATCGTTCGGTCGTGTCAAACTACCGGCCGGTGACTCTGTTGACTGCTTGAGCGACTGGTGGCCAACCAAATCATTAAACACTTAGAGGAAAGCGGATTGCTTCCGGCTGCCTAGCATGGTTCAATTAAAAACAGATCCTGTCTGTCCAATCTCCTCATTAGCTTACATGACTGGACGCAAGCTGTGGACAATGGAAACCCCGTTCACGCATGCTATCTAGGCATCTCCAAGGCATTTGATCGCGTGAACCATAACATATTGTTACAAGAATTCGAACACTGTGGTATTACGGGAAAGCTGCTGACTTGGCTTGAAATCTATTTGGCTGACCGAGACGCGCGTGTATGTGTTGACGGCGCTCTGTCCAAGCCAATTGCAGCTACAAGTGGAGTACCCCAAGGCTCTGTTCTTGGGCCTACTTTATTTTTATTATACGTAAACGATATACCTGAGCTCGTGAGCAGTAAAATCACTTTATTCGCAGACGATATCAAGATATGGTCAAGCATACGCACCATTGAAGACAGTCACCGATTACAAAAAGATCTCGATACACTTTATGATTGGCCACTGAAAAACAGACTACCGTTTAACCTCCAAAAATGTAAAATGCTCCGTGTAGGGAAGCCCTTTGCATATAACTATACGTTGGGTCCACAACCACTTTCTTGGACTAGTGAAGAAAAAGATCTTGGCGTGTGGGTCAGCAGCTGTTTAAAAAACTCCTTGCAATGCACAGCCGTCTACAAGAGGACCTCACAAGTCCTGTCGCTCCTAAAACGGATTTTTGGTCGTTTCACTCGACTGGCACTGCCCCGAGTAATCAATACCTACATCCGACCAACCATGGAATACGCTATACAAGCTTGGTCACCATGGCTTCAAAAAGACATAATTCTTCTACAGCGAATATATCATCGAGCCACGAAGCTGGTAATTGGATTGCAAAATAAACCATACGAAGACAGGATTGCCAGTCTCAACCTATTTGACTTCTACTATCGGCGCATCAGGGGAGACCTAATTCTAACATATAATATACTGAATACACCTAATAATCCGCTGAAAAATCTATTGGTCCGACGTCGACCACGAACGGGCAGGAGACATGACTTTTCGCTCGCGGTACCTCACTCGAGGGTGAACTGTCGACGGAACTTTGTTGTGGTCCGAGTATGCTTCATTTGGAACTCCCTACCTCCCTATGTTGCACATTTGACGAGTTTAGCCATTTTCAAGAACAATTTAGATGCATATCTTATGTCCAAACCGAACCTGGAACTGTTTATCTCCATGTGATACTCAGCAAACACCACGCATATTTTTGCGTCCCTTTGTATATATACGTTTGCCCTATGGTCGTTGTAAAGTTAAATGCTTTTTAGACCATAAAACCTTGAATTACCTTGAATTACCTTTAATTCGGCTGTGTCATCCATGAGGTGAGTTTTTCCAAACAGCACCTGGATTCGTTCGAATGGCGTGAGGGAGTCTGAACTGACCTTGTGGATTACACCAATCTCGGTCTTCGTTAGCGCCGAGTGAGCGCAGCTCGACTCACTTGAACAGATTTTATTAATCAAAGCATACATTATTCCTATTAGGAATGCATATTTCAAATCAACCATAGTTGTTGCTCAGTCTGATAATCAATAAAATATTGGGGTAGTGTTCATATCCGACTTCAGTGTACTGGGTGAGACGCTAGGCAGTGACGTTTATCTGTTTCCTCTAAATCAAATATTCCGCACAGACATAAGCCTTCTTTTCGTCTTTCACCTCAGGAAAATATGGAGTGACCGTGGCAAGTCTCGCACAGTTCCTTCAAACAGCATTGTTGTGGCACACAGGGACGCATGTCTCGAAATTTCCGGGAACGTCGACATGGGCTTATGTAGTGCTCTGAACCACGCGTTGTCTGAGCGCCTGGTGCCCACAATGTATCACTGCATATTCTTCACTTAATTCGACTTCGCAAGCTTTTTCGCCATTACCTTGAATTTGGATTAAACAGTGAAACCAACGTCTGTTTGCTTATCCGTGCTGACTAAGATGATTTCATACGTGCGTGCGTGAAACTGTAACAAATAAATAAGTGGAAGACGGCTGATACTAGCACTCAGTGTTCGGATTCGACTGGCTACAGCAGCCTCAAACATTTCGACACTACAACTTTCCACAACGGAAAACCGACCTATTCTTTCGTTTGTGTTTCATTACAGTTGGTTTGTGACATCGACAACCTTGCTGGTCTGACTGGTCATTCCATACGGCTTGTGAAATATTTGGTTGAACCTCCGCAGTTTTATACCCATTCTTGAATGTGGCATATCCCCGTCGTTTGAGGTCTACCGCACAACACTTCCGAAGAGGGCTTTGGAAAAACTCTTACCGCATTCGTGATTCAAGCGAATGAACAAAAGCTGCTGGACAAATTGTTGAACCCAATGAATGTTCATGGATTCAATTAAACATTTGCTCACACAATAGCAAAAGACAAGTTACACATGCGTTTTAACTGTTTTTAACTCAAAATACACAGGTGCTTTTGAGGACACATCTGAGGTATTACACTGTTCACATCAGAACTGTCCTCCGGATGCTCCGTCTTCTCAGGTAGTGCAGAGAAGAAAGCACAACGGTGGTTGTGGTATTGTGAGATATACTGAGGACATGAAGCTGCTCATCAGTTGTGACCCTTCCAAATGCCGTGCTCTGTGTCCCCATTATAGTAGGTTGCATATAGTGAATCGTGTGTGCAAAATGCCACACAACTAATGATCTCGTATAGTTTAGAATTTGACGGAGGAACTCATCCATTAGAGTACTCAAAATTTGGAGTCGACTCGTGATTATAAACGAAACCAGTTTATGTAATGAGTCAAAGGGAATGTTTAAATCTAGTTTGTCGTGAGTCGCGCCATTTTACATTTGAATCTGAGGTTGAGGTTGCTGAAGCGTGTCGCGTCATCCGGTAAATGCCGGTGGTTATTTAGCTCACATATTTTGCCGGAATGCTGCGAAACTTAGTTCCCACAATCCTACAGTTCAATGAGATGGCAGTGGGATATGTTCTCAGAAATGTTTCTACTCTCCCGATTATTTGATAAAATGTTTGGGAGCACACCACTCTGTGCAGTCGCCCGCCCGCAAAGTGTGCTTCCGTTCATCTCTATGATCCGTAACTGCTCAAAAACCTGACTTGTCGGTTCATTCGGCACATCCGAGTTTGGCCCGTATACAAATAGCTCCGCGACAAGTAGACACAAGATTTTTCGGTAAATTTCGTGACTTGATTGGAGTTGGTGGAATTTTGAAGATAACGGAAACAGCATGACACCTAGTTGGGCTTATCGATAACCAATCTCATCCAAGTATTCTTGTAATTGACTGTGGACAAATTAGGCCTAAATATACCAATGGGAATCCGCCCACGATTCAAGACTTTGTTCAAGAATTGTATGTGCCTTTATGATCGCATCAAACTACTAACAAGAGACGAGTAGCTCAGAAGAAGTGTATAATTCACACCATGATTGAAGGGTTGGTCGTAATTCTGGGGGTCAGTTAACACGTGAGATTACCTGATGTGGGAGCTGTCGAACCGTGTGGTGATCGATATTTTCATCATACTCGGGTTCCGATAGGTGGCGGTAAACGCCGCCCGTCTTCCGTGGTGCCTGCGTCACCAGTCTTGGCAGTGCCAATGGTCCTTACTAGATCTTGTTTGAGTGCAGCACTAACAGAGATTGTGATACAGGGAGAAGAACTAAATGCTGCTTACAACTAAAGACCAAGGTGCCTACGCATCCAACACTCAATCTGGCAATCCGGATAGGTCCTGACAGCATCAACGCTACTGTCATCGGGTAGCCGCCTTGGCTTTTAGTGTCCCCAGTGAAGCAGGAGCAGGCTGACAGAACACATCATGGAACCGGTGGCACCAAGACTTCTTAACACTCTCCATTACCCTTTGCCGTCCAGACAACCACCAGTTTTCCGTTGCTGGTTTCCGTTCTCCCCAAAGGCTGTCCGCTGATCAACTCATTTTCAAGTGGCAGGTTCCAGTCATCAGCTAACATGTTAGTGGTCATAATCCCGAAAATCTCTCTTGCTTCTTCTCGGCCGTTTCCGGCCAGTGAAACTGGTACCTTCACCCCCTCTCGGGTTTATCACCGTGGCACACGAGTCAGTGCAGCTTCCAAGATACATATAAATTTATACAAATTCTAATCTCACCTAAGGAATGTTTAGGGTGCCTTCAAATACTGTATTCGAGTGAAAGACTCTCTCCTTAGATATTCCGATGCGGTCACTAATCCGGAATCATTGAGACCAATAGACTTTAGCGTATTTGCTCTATCGGTACAACAGCTGATCGGCTCTATGGCCCATTTTCGAGACCACTTGTTCAAATTCCCTGGTTTTCACGGATTCACGGATTGATACACAGGATCGAGGCTTTTGCCCAAGTTTCCCGGGTCGGTTTTGTTCTTGTCGGTCAGTGGCTGTCGTTCACCTGAAAGGCACAAGTGAAAAAAGGGTGTAGCACTGCTCTTTATGTTCTCAGCGCGGGGCAGTATGCTCGCCAGCGCGAGGATTCGCACAAATAAATGTCTAATAGTGCTTTAAATTGGGTTCGAGAAGGAGCGTGTACAACCGCCGGAGGAAGGTCATTCCACGCAGCTACTACCCGAAATGAAAAAAAAGTTTTGTCTAATGAATGTGTGCCCTGAGCTTGAAGATTTTCTTACTATGTCCCCGCCGGGTGTTTGCTGGGTAAACGGTAAAAAACCTGTTTGCCAAGCTTTGTTCAAACAAGGCGTAGGTAAGAATTAGGTCCCCTCGGAGGCGACGGTACTCCAG